TATGGTCACGTGATACTGGTCAGCAGATACCTTGATTTGACAGGTGTCAATTGATCATAACATGGATTTCAAATATCAAGGAAATACACGATAAACCAAGGCTGCATGTCTCTGTCAACCTATTATTTGGAGTATGGCCGCCATGTTGGGCAACTCCGCCGCCGCCGTCGTCGTCGTCGTNCGTCGTGCGTACGCGCCCACGAGCAATACCGCTAGCCACGATAACCATGAGAAAATCAACTCATGGGTTTCCTTTTCCTTCCCATATGAGTATGGAGCTCCGCTACAAGGTGCAAAGAAAAAAATTTTCGAGCGGGTTTCTGTCTAGCTTGCAGAACAGGCGAATTAGCGGGAAAGCGCGATACACGAACGCGAGGCGAAAAAAATGGATTTATTTTCGCCTCACGCTTCGCATCCGCTTTCGTGTATCGGGCTAGCCCGCTAATCTGCCTGTTCTGCAGGCTAGTTTCTGTACAGCATACAACGATTGAAAAGCTCTGTAATTGACTGTATTCTTCCTTGTTTTAAGACAAATAACAACATGGGTACCCATATAACAACTTACCGTGTACACTACATTTCCTAAGAACCACTCGCCTACCACCACTCCACTGCTGAAAGGGGACTCTGAAAACAAAACGGGAAAAAGCGAACGCATGGCAGAAGATAAGTGCGATTGCTACTCCACTAAGCATCAACTTCTAGTTTAATATTTTCAAGCACTTTTTCCCTGTTCTCCAGGACCCAGTTATTCGAAGACTGGATAACCGGACAAATCGCTATCCAGTGGACAAATATGTGATCAATATGATTTATCTGGTGGATAGCGTTATCTGTCTTTCGAACAACCCGAGTCAGGTTTTCCTTTGATTAACCTCTAACTTAACTTGAATATAAACAAGAAAGATAACCTCTTAGTATCGAATGTTAATTTAAAATCGGGTACCAAAACTTAAGGAATAAAACCCTTACCGTGTTTGAGCATGAAACAAGGCAAATAAAACAACAGAAGGGAGTGGTATACTGAAGCCGCAATCCACATCCAGAATACCTAATATAACACAAGACGAGAAAGAAGAAAATAATTAGCAAATTGCGCCTGAAAAATCGTTCCTTGAGGGCCAAACAAGTTACAAACTTACAGTTAAAACGGGAGGTTCAATTGACGAGAACTTTACAATGTCGTTTGGCGACTTGCTTGAGAAAACGCGAATAGAAAGTTGCAGTTGCCGGTAGAAGAACGTGTGGTTTAACTGTAAAAACTATGATTCTTAACAGCAAGCTTCAGCACTAACTCAAAAAAAAACTAAAAACTAGCATTCTTTCATTCTTGTCATTTCCTCGACCAGAATATTAACCTATAGTTAAGTGCTTGCACTGCCAATATTGAACTACACAGTCGGAAAAACACGACTATTTCCGCTACTTCTTATTCAATCAAACATAGCACGAGCATTCACGAGTAAATGACGTCAGCAAGGGGCCATACGAAAACTTCATGTTACCCTGCAACGGTTCAATGCGAAAGCCGGTGACTTAGGTCAGGCATTACGGCCAAAGAAAGTCGTTCCTCTCGAGAATTTTCAGGCGGTACGTTGGATAGCAAGCTCCTCACCTTCGTGTTATATATCTCGGCATTCTGTGACGCCTTGTAAAGCTTGGGATATTTGAGCATGCTTTCAGAAGTCACTGTGCGATCAAACAGGCCGATAGCCAGTGGGGGAACTGACGTGAAAACCTGCAAACAGAAACATTAATACAAGCATCGTCACAAACTGTGCGGTAAATAAGAACAGAGAGCCCCAAAAAGAAATAATGCAGGGATTGTTTCATTGATTTCTGGAATAAAAATTTCACCGTTACTCTTGCGAGGCGGAGGGCCTTAACTCCCTTCTTCCCGTACACATCAGTGCCTATTCTCGCCTCCTTCCTTAATGGCTCCAACACTACCGTCTCACTGTTCAACAATGCAAACTGTTTCCCTGTTTCTTTACCTCTCACCATCTACAAAATAGACCTTATTCTCCCGTCCCTTCCCCTTCCCAACAGGTTTTCGCCTCTCTTCTGGTCTCTTCTGCTAGTCTTGGGTCTTGGGTCACCGGGGATTGACTCATAACTAAAGGCAAATAAATTTTCCTAGGTTTATAACAGAATAAAAACGTTACATTCTGAGTCAAATGGAAGTTTGTCCATTCTTGGCATCGTCAGTGTTCTTACCTTCCTAACGGATGCTGACATTTGTCCAGTACTGTGCCATCACTTAACTCAATCAGTGCCGGTTAGATTTCCTATAACCTCGATGCGTCTATGCGCCTAAATTCAGCTTAGTAACTTTTCATTTAAGCTAAGTAAACTTACCACATTGTAGATACCAATGCACCACTTGTCGAACAGGATTTGACCGGAAAATCCGTTGTCAAGTGCAAACCACAGCTGCAACACATGAAGATTACGAATAAGAAAAGAAAAAACTCGCAGGCCGGTACTGCCAGAAAGGACTTGGTAATCTCGACAGTAGCGCTTACGAAATTACTAAAACACTGCTGCCTAGCCCCTACCAAAACCATCAATACACCACACGCAGCGCACCCGCGCCCGCACACGCGCGCACGCGTACTCACACGCGTATAAACCGCTCGCGTGCACTTGCCAGATGTGCTTATTAGTATAGTTGTCTCGGCTGAGTGTAAGTCAGAGTTCCCTTCGACTCCGAGTTCAAAATTGAAGCAACATTGTGGCGTTCATGATTTTAAGCTCCCATGCTCCAGTACGAGTAATGATCTTTAAAGTAAGAAATATACCTGATAGTCCATAGTCTCGGGATAATTTAATCCTCACTCACCTCAATAACATACAGACACACGTTCTTGTAGAATGAGTACAAGATGAGCTTGGCGAGACGCTGGTAACTCCACGCTCCGTGAACAAAGAGAAGCTTGTTTAAATAGCGAAACTGAGGAAAAGACGGCAGTGAATCAGCATTCAAACAAAATGCTTTCAAATTAATTCGATATTAAAAAGGCTTAACTATGGCGCACACCTTTATCAGCCCACCTGAGGGAAAAAGGTCGTGCGGTAAAAGTGTAGACTAAAATGCCCAGTATCTGGATTTACGTGCTTCAAGTTAGTTTTCCAGGTTCACAGCAAGAAATTGATTTCTAAGAGCATTGTTCCTCTATGCAAATTGCTTGCGAGTCCGACGCAGGTTGCTCCCAACATTTTGTCGAGTTTTCCTGGCAATAGTCTACCACCAGTAAGTTAGTAAGGCGTCTTGCCCAAGAACACAAAACAGCGAACCTCGTCAGGGCTGCTCTTCAGTGGATTTCGAGAGCAATGCACTAACTAGTGGCATGCGATGTATGCGCATCGCTTTGTATTGAATGGTATCACTCAGCTGTTGCCTGAATTGTGTATCATCAATGTTGGGTTACCTGTGCAATGGCGTAGTCCGAAGCACTGGCTGCCTGCAGGCCTTCCACTCCACTGATCCCCACGCCAACATGTGCAGCCTAACAAAACAACAACAAGTTTAACTCAACTGTCTTCTACTTCTTTACACTTCTTCTTCTTTACACTTCCTTGTGGAACATAAGTTCGACACCACCGCTTTCCGTCCAATCCTGTTTAGGGCTGTTTTGTTGGCTAACTCAACTATACCAGGAGATATTTTGCCTCAGATTTACTAAAAAAAACACTTCAACAGTAATTCGTAGTCTATTTAAACGAGTGCCGAAAGTTGACCTTTAACCCTTTAATTCCCAGGAGTGATCAAAATGAAATTTCTCACTACAATATCAATACATTATCAAGCACGCAGGTGATAAGAATAGAGGAAATCATCAGCTAAGTGATACCACTTTGGTCTACCACCAAATTCTCAGAGCTGACACTAATAGAACTGTGTGGCTTTCAGTAAGAAGAATTTACGTTTTGAACTCGCGACTAAAAGGTTAAGTGATCAACCTGAATCATGCCGACATCGTTAGCTCCATCGCCAATAGCGAGGGTGATGGCGTCCTTGACGTGTTGTTTCACAAGTTTCACAACTTGTGCCTTTTGTAGAGGAGAAACCCTGGAGACAAAAAAAGATGTATCTCAGTTTTAAGTTTGATAAAAGGTAGCGTCTGCATACGAGCCAAGTGGCCCATCAGGCTGGAGCTTATCTCCGGTTTCTGTAGTATGAAGCAACTAGGAGTATTTCTACTCCTCCCTGGATGGGATGCAAGTCGATCGCAGGGTTACCCTCAGCATTAAATTCGCTGGTAGCTATTTGTACTCCTTGGTGGAGAGAGACAATGTGAGAGTAAAGTGTCTTGCCTAAGAACACAACAAAACGTCCCCGGCCAGGGCTCAAACCAGGACTAATCGATCCGAAGTCGAGCGCACTAACCATGAGGCCACCGCGCCTCCATATCTCAGTTTCAGTCAAGAAAAATTAGCTGAAGAAGGCTGAAGGGAAAAAAAAGCGTCACAAAAGTTCTCCCTAACCTGCAGCAGATTACGGCTTTGCAGCTGAGCGCCATATCTAAGAAACTCAACTTCAGTTCGTCTGTTAATCCATGTGAAAGAGTCTAATAAACACAAAATTACAATCACTTATTACACTGGATGACAGTCTTACATGAACTGGGAAGTCAAACTGAAAATCCTGTTCTACGGCTTATAACACCATCGACTGAGAAATACTATTCACTTGACTCTAAAGATGACTTCCGCTCAGGTTGTCGAAACGTCAGTCACCGACAACAGTTCTTTTCAGAACTACTCTCAACCGGACGATCACACTATTCGAACCACTAGAGAGTAGTGTTGAGAGGGTGATTTAATTAAAATGGCAAAAACGAACAGAAACTGCAAATTTTGCCTTCCTGATGTCGAACCATAAACAAAGGAAACATCATGTCGGAGGGTCGACTTAAAAAATGGGTAAGATATCAGATTTGGTGCGGTTCAAAAGGAGCCAAAGTAAAAGTTACCTTGCCAGTGATGATCAGCCCCAAGTCATCCTAAGATCAAAAAGAGGAACTCGTCAGTAAGGAAACTTCTGTCAGCACACAACTCTAAGATATTATCATCTGCTGCTACTCACCCGAATGGACGGCGGTTTTTTCTTGGATGAGCCAGCTCGGCCGATTATTCTGAGATGCTCATTCAGCCACTCACGAGTTCCCTGCAAACACCATCAGCAACATCAATTAGGCCCCGTCCACACAATGCGGGGGAAATTTGAAAACGCAGCTTTATTTCTACGCTTAGGCCTAACGTCCACACTAATCCGTCACGAAAACAAAGCTTTCCGAAAACGCTCTTCAAAACGGAGAAATTTGAGAACGACGGATTTGTGTTTTAGTGTGGACGGAAAACATTTTGAAAACGGAGCTTTTCGAAAACAATGACCTCACGATAATCATATGCATGTGATTTCACTACCCGAGTTTTCCTCAAACACTAATCCAAAATGACCAGTGAGTGTTGCGTTTTCAAATTCTCCCAGCGTAATGTTGTGCAAAACAATCGATGCGTTTTCAGAGTCAAACGCCGTTTTTAAATTTCTCCGGCGAAGTGTGGTCGGGGGCCTAGAAAACTACTGGTAAGAAAGCGTGCGTTAATAGCCGTACTCAAACTTATTTCGCTTTTTTTCTTGAAATCTTGAGTTACTTACATCGAGGCTCTCTTCGCTACAGATTAACAGTTTCATCTCAGGAGTAAGCAAACGACATGCATAACCTGCAACAAATAGAAAAATAAAAGTATTGTTAAAACAGAATGGTAAAATTAGTCCTATTTCACGCCGACGATAGAAGTAGAGTTTTAATGTCCATTGCTTGACTGGCAAGTCTTGCCTCAGGCTCTCCTTCAATATAGACCTGTTTCACTCATTTTCATGGTTGCCACAGACATCTGTTTTCAAACTTTCCATGACTTTTCCTTAATAAAAACAAAATCTTCCTGACCAAAGAAACACAAAATGTCAGATATAGTGGCTGCTTCTAGCCTCCCTTTACGGCCATCCTTTTCACCCATTTATTAAGACTGACACGTTTTCAACAAATTTTCCTTCCTCATTAACAGTGACCCCAAATGTTTCCAGCCTTCAGTGGCACCAAGTCAGCCGTGTTAACTTATTTCAATTTTCCCTGACTTTTTCTTCAAAATGTCAGTTTCCCTTGACTCAAAATAAAATTCCCTGACTTTTCCCTAACCTTGAAGACTTTTTTCCTCTCTGACTACTTCCTGACCTGTGGCNCGTCGTGCGTACGCGCCCACGAGCAATACCGCTAGCCACGATAACCATGAGAAAATCAACTCATGGGTTTCCTTTTCCTTCCCATATGAGTATGGAGCTCCGCTACAAGGTGCAAAGAAAAAAATTTTCGAGCGGGTTTCTGTCTAGCTTGCAGAACAGGCGAATTAGCGGGAAAGCGCGATACACGAACGCGAGGCGAAAAAAATGGATTTATTTTCGCCTCACGCTTCGCATCCGCTTTCGTGTATCGGGCTAGCCCGCTAATCTGCCTGTTCTGCAGGCTAGTTTCTGTACAGCATACAACGATTGAAAAGCTCTGTAATTGACTGTATTCTTCCTTGTTTTAAGACAAATAACAACATGGGTACCCATATAACAACTTACCGTGTACACTACATTTCCTAAGAACCACTCGCCTACCACCACTCCACTGCTGAAAGGGGACTCTGAAAACAAAACGGGAAAAAGCGAACGCATGGCAGAAGATAAGTGCGATTGCTACTCCACTAAGCATCAACTTCTAGTTTAATATTTTCAAGCACTTTTTCCCTGTTCTCCAGGACCCAGTTATTCGAAGACTGGATAACCGGACAAATCGCTATCCAGTGGACAAATATGTGATCAATATGATTTATCTGGTGGATAGCGTTATCTGTCTTTCGAACAACCCGAGTCAGGTTTTCCTTTGATTAACCTCTAACTTAACTTGAATATAAACAAGAAAGATAACCTCTTAGTATCGAATGTTAATTTAAAATCGGGTACCAAAACTTAAGGAATAAAACCCTTACCGTGTTTGAGCATGAAACAAGGCAAATAAAACAACAGAAGGGAGTGGTATACTGAAGCCGCAATCCACATCCAGAATACCTAATATAACACAAGACGAGAAAGAAGAAAATAATTAGCAAATTGCGCCTGAAAAATCGTTCCTTGAGGGCCAAACAAGTTACAAACTTACAGTTAAAACGGGAGGTTCAATTGACGAGAACTTTACAATGTCGTTTGGCGACTTGCTTGAGAAAACGCGAATAGAAAGTTGCAGTTGCCGGTAGAAGAACGTGTGGTTTAACTGTAAAAACTATGATTCTTAACAGCAAGCTTCAGCACTAACTCAAAAAAAAACTAAAAACTAGCATTCTTTCATTCTTGTCATTTCCTCGACCAGAATATTAACCTATAGTTAAGTGCTTGCACTGCCAATATTGAACTACACAGTCGGAAAAACACGACTATTTCCGCTACTTCTTATTCAATCAAACATAGCACGAGCATTCACGAGTAAATGACGTCAGCAAGGGGCCATACGAAAACTTCATGTTACCCTGCAACGGTTCAATGCGAAAGCCGGTGACTTAGGTCAGGCATTACGGCCAAAGAAAGTCGTTCCTCTCGAGAATTTTCAGGCGGTACGTTGGATAGCAAGCTCCTCACCTTCGTGTTATATATCTCGGCATTCTGTGACGCCTTGTAAAGCTTGGGATATTTGAGCATGCTTTCAGAAGTCACTGTGCGATCAAACAGGCCGATAGCCAGTGGGGGAACTGACGTGAAAACCTGCAAACAGAAACATTAATACAAGCATCGTCACAAACTGTGCGGTAAATAAGAACAGAGAGCCCCAAAAAGAAATAATGCAGGGATTGTTTCATTGATTTCTGGAATAAAAATTTCACCGTTACTCTTGCGAGGCGGAGGGCCTTAACTCCCTTCTTCCCGTACACATCAGTGCCTATTCTCGCCTCCTTCCTTAATGGCTCCAACACTACCGTCTCACTGTTCAACAATGCAAACTGTTTCCCTGTTTCTTTACCTCTCACCATCTACAAAATAGACCTTATTCTCCCGTCCCTTCCCCTTCCCAACAGGTTTTCGCCTCTCTTCTGGTCTCTTCTGCTAGTCTTGGGTCTTGGGTCACCGGGGATTGACTCATAACTAAAGGCAAATAAATTTTCCTAGGTTTATAACAGAATAAAAACGTTACATTCTGAGTCAAATGGAAGTTTGTCCATTCTTGGCATCGTCAGTGTTCTTACCTTCCTAACGGATGCTGACATTTGTCCAGTACTGTGCCATCACTTAACTCAATCAGTGCCGGTTAGATTTCCTATAACCTCGATGCGTCTATGCGCCTAAATTCAGCTTAGTAACTTTTCATTTAAGCTAAGTAAACTTACCACATTGTAGATACCAATGCACCACTTGTCGAACAGGATTTGACCGGAAAATCCGTTGTCAAGTGCAAACCACAGCTGCAACACATGAAGATTACGAATAAGAAAAGAAAAAACTCGCAGGCCGGTACTGCCAGAAAGGACTTGGTAATCTCGACAGTAGCGCTTACGAAATTACTAAAACACTGCTGCCTAGCCCCTACCAAAACCATCAATACACCACACGCAGCGCACCCGCGCCCGCACACGCGCGCACGCGTACTCACACGCGTATAAACCGCTCGCGTGCACTTGCCAGATGTGCTTATTAGTATAGTTGTCTCGGCTGAGTGTAAGTCAGAGTTCCCTTCGACTCCGAGTTCAAAATTGAAGCAACATTGTGGCGTTCATGATTTTAAGCTCCCATGCTCCAGTACGAGTAATGATCTTTAAAGTAAGAAATATACCTGATAGTCCATAGTCTCGGGATAATTTAATCCTCACTCACCTCAATAACATACAGACACACGTTCTTGTAGAATGAGTACAAGATGAGCTTGGCGAGACGCTGGTAACTCCACGCTCCGTGAACAAAGAGAAGCTTGTTTAAATAGCGAAACTGAGGAAAAGACGGCAGTGAATCAGCATTCAAACAAAATGCTTTCAAATTAATTCGATATTAAAAAGGCTTAACTATGGCGCACACCTTTATCAGCCCACCTGAGGGAAAAAGGTCGTGCGGTAAAAGTGTAGACTAAAATGCCCAGTATCTGGATTTACGTGCTTCAAGTTAGTTTTCCAGGTTCACAGCAAGAAATTGATTTCTAAGAGCATTGTTCCTCTATGCAAATTGCTTGCGAGTCCGACGCAGGTTGCTCCCAACATTTTGTCGAGTTTTCCTGGCAATAGTCTACCACCAGTAAGTTAGTAAGGCGTCTTGCCCAAGAACACAAAACAGCGAACCTCGTCAGGGCTGCTCTTCAGTGGATTTCGAGAGCAATGCACTAACTAGTGGCATGCGATGTATGCGCATCGCTTTGTATTGAATGGTATCACTCAGCTGTTGCCTGAATTGTGTATCATCAATGTTGGGTTACCTGTGCAATGGCGTAGTCCGAAGCACTGGCTGCCTGCAGGCCTTCCACTCCACTGATCCCCACGCCAACATGTGCAGCCTAACAAAACAACAACAAGTTTAACTCAACTGTCTTCTACTTCTTTACACTTCTTCTTCTTTACACTTCCTTGTGGAACATAAGTTCGACACCACCGCTTTCCGTCCAATCCTGTTTAGGGCTGTTTTGTTGGCTAACTCAACTATACCAGGAGATATTTTGCCTCAGATTTACTAAAAAAAACACTTCAACAGTAATTCGTAGTCTATTTAAACGAGTGCCGAAAGTTGACCTTTAACCCTTTAATTCCCAGGAGTGATCAAAATGAAATTTCTCACTACAATATCAATACATTATCAAGCACGCAGGTGATAAGAATAGAGGAAATCATCAGCTAAGTGATACCACTTTGGTCTACCACCAAATTCTCAGAGCTGACACTAATAGAACTGTGTGGCTTTCAGTAAGAAGAATTTACGTTTTGAACTCGCGACTAAAAGGTTAAGTGATCAACCTGAATCATGCCGACATCGTTAGCTCCATCGCCAATAGCGAGGGTGATGGCGTCCTTGACGTGTTGTTTCACAAGTTTCACAACTTGTGCCTTTTGTAGAGGAGAAACCCTGGAGACAAAAAAAGATGTATCTCAGTTTTAGGTTTGATAAAAGGTAGCGTCTGCATACGAGCCAAGTGGCCCATCAGGCTGGAGCTTATCTCCGGTTTCTGTAGTATGAAGCTACTAGGAGTATTTCTACTCCTCCCTGGATGGGATGCAAGTCTATCGCAGGGTTACCCTCAGCATTAAATTCGCTGGTAGCTATTTGTACTCCTTGGTGGAGAGAGACAATGTGAGAGTAAAGTGTCTTGCCTAAGAACACAACAAAACGTCCCCGGCCAGGGCTCAAACCAGGACTAATCGATCCGAAGTCGAGCGCACTAACCATGAGGCCACCGCGCCTCCATATCTCAGTTTCAGTCAAGAAAAATTAGCTGAAGAAGGCTGAAGGGAAAAAAAAGCGTCACAAAAGTTCTCCCTAACCTGCAGCAGATTACGGCTTTGCAGCTGAGCGCCATATCTAAGAAACTCAACTTCAGTTCGTCTGTTAATCCATGTGAAAGAGTCTAATAAACACAAAATTACAATCACTTATTACACTGGATGACAGTCTTACATGAACTGGGAAGTCAAACTGAAAATCCTGTTCTACGGCTTATAACACCATCGACTGAGAAATACTATTCACTTGACTCTAAAGATGACTTCCGCTCAGGTTGTCGAAACGTCAGTCACCGACAACAGTTCTTTTCAGAACTACTCTCAACCGGACGATCACACTATTCGAACCACTAGAGAGTAGTGTTGAGAGGGTGATTTAATTAAAATGGCAAAAACGAACAGAAACTGCAAATTTTGCCTTCCTGATGTCGAACCATAAACAAAGGAAACATCATGTCGGAGGGTCGACTTAAAAAATGGGTAAGATATCAGATTTGGTGCGGTTCAAAAGGAGCCAAAGTAAAAGTTACCTTGCCAGTGATGATCAGCCCCAAGTCATCCTAAGATCAAAAAGAGGAACTCGTCAGTAAGGAAACTTCTGTCAGCACACAACTCTAAGATATTATCATCTGCTGCTACTCACCCGAATGGACGGCGGTTTTTTCTTGGATGAGCCAGCTCGGCCGATTATTCTGAGATGCTCATTCAGCCACTCACGAGTTCCCTGCAAACACCATCAGCAACATCAATTAGGCCCCGTCCACACAATGCGGGGGAAATTTGAAAACGCAGCTTTATTTCTACGCTTAGGCCTAACGTCCACACTAATCCGTCACGAAAACAAAGCTTTCCGAAAACGCTCTTCAAAACGGAGAAATTTGAGAACGACGGATTTGTGTTTTAGTGTGGACGGAAAACATTTTGAAAACGGAGCTTTTCGAAAACAATGACCTCACGATAATCATATGCATGTGATTTCACTACCCGAGTTTTCCTCAAACACTAATCCAAAATGACCAGTGAGTGTTGCGTTTTCAAATTCTCCCAGCGTAATGTTGTGCAAAACAATCGATGCGTTTTCAGAGTCAAACGCCGTTTTTAAATTTCTCCGGCGAAGTGTGGTCGGGGGCCTAGAAAACTACTGGTAAGAAAGCGTGCGTTAATAGCCGTACTCAAACTTATTTCGCTTTTTTTCTTGAAATCTTGAGTTACTTACATCGAGGCTCTCTTCGCTACAGATTAACAGTTTCATCTCAGGAGTAAGCAAACGACATGCATAACCTGCAACAAATAGAAAAATAAAAGTATTGTTAAAACAGAATGGTAAAATTAGTCCTATTTCACGCCGACGATAGAAGTAGAGTTTTAATGTCCATTGCTTGACTGGCAAGTCTTGCCTCAGGCTCTCCTTCAATATAGACCTGTTTCACTCATTTTCATGGTTGCCACAGACATCTGTTTTCAAACTTTCCATGACTTTTCCTTAATAAAAACAAAATCTTCCTGACCAAAGAAACACAAAATGTCAGATATAGTGGCTGCTTCTAGCCTCCCTTTACGGCCATCCTTTTCACCCATTTATTAAGACTGACACGTTTTCAACAAATTTTCCTTCCTCATTAACAGTGACCCCAAATGTTTCCAGCCTTCAGTAGCACCAAGTCAGCCGTGTTAACTTATTTCAATTTTCCCTGACTTTTTCTTCAAAATGTCAGTTTCCCTTGACTCAAAATAAAATTCCCTGACTTTTCCCTAACCTTGAAGACTTTTTTCCTCTCTGACTACTTCCTGACCTGTGGCAACCCTCATTTGATAAGCCACCGAATAATGGCAAGCTTGCGTACTTGCTGACCTCGGGCAAATGAATCACTTAGCTATATCTCAAATTTTAACCGCCGTAGCGAATTTGTGAAGCGCATGTTTCGAGCGCTAGCCCTGTCTTGATCTGACGAAGAGCTGATGCGCGAAAAAGTTAGTTTCACAAACTTGCTTTCTGATCGAACCATTTAAGTGTGAGAAAGCTATTAGAACTCCACAGTCAGAATGACGTTACCGATGTTGATGGCAGTTTCTTGCTTGTCTCCTGTTAGAACCCAGATCTTTATATCCGCATCAGCGAGGGCAGCAATGCTCTCTGGGACACCCTGAAAACCAGCAAACAAACAAGATATATTATAATGTGAGAGTGTAAAAACTTAAGGTAGCTTGCGAATACACGCGCTTCTCATCGCCCAGGGATTATGACAAGCGAGTAAAACAAGGCGGTGATAATAAAAATGTGTCAACTGTCGACTGGTTTAAAGTCTTTGCAAAGTGCTTCAACCAATCAGAGCAGTCACACTGGTTTTTCAACCAATCACGGAGCTCGTGATGTGGCTTACCCGCGTTTTCCCGCCCTTGCCACCACATTGTGTTCACCAACTCCCTCTCCAACCAAGAGTATTAACCGGCATGGGAACCAGCAAAATGTTACGTCAAACAGAAAAAAAAACTAACCTCCTGCAGCTTGTCCTCGATAGCAGTGGCTCCCAACAAAAACAAATTCTGTAATTCAAACAGAAACAAACCATATATTAGAAGAAAAAACACCAAAGTATAGACTCCATTCCCAAATGGCTGCTAGTTATAATTTCTTTATAAATTCTTCTCAAATAAAAATTTTCGCATGCAAGAACTGAACTAATCAGAGGCAATACACAGATGTCAGACAAACTAAGTCAGTCTAGCTGCGTCATCAACACGGAATTTTTCGGGTAAATTTCAGACAAGTTTTAAGTAAAGGAAAGAAAAGCAAGTTGTTCGGTTCTCAGCGGTTTAAAAAACAAACAAGGTGACAAGATCATTCTGCATTGCGTTGAACGATCTGTTGACCATTTATCCTCGGTCTTGTGTCTCCTAAAAGGAGCTACGTCACCGTTTGCGCATCTTGAAAAGTTTAGCCTAAATTTTTCAAGTTCGTCGTTTGTAATCCGTGTTAATCTTCTCCATCCTTAACGATCCTTGTTCCTTTATGGTTTATTATTATCTCTTCGGTGTTTTTCTGTCTTAGTAAACTGCTATTTTCAGGTTTTCTTCAATTTAAAGGTAATTTTGTATGTGGCTAAAATAACTCAAAATACCGTGACTGAGCTCCTTTAACGCGGGCTAAAACTGTGAAAACAACTATTGACAGCCGACCAACCTTTTCAATGAGTTCTGCAGCATCGTCCACGTTCTTCTCTCTATTTTCCAAGCTTGTAGAAGCTTTGTAATAGATGTCACTCCAGCGTTGAAATTCCTCAGGTTCGAGTTCAGTCATCGCTATACAGAGTGTGCGTAGACCTAATGGGAAGTCATAAGCAGGAAATTTCTAAATAAGCCGGATTGAACTTCACTAGCCTGTTCCAGGCTCTCAGATGATCGAAAAAGCGGGGGGGCTACGAGCGAGATAATGTCCCCACTGACCAAGAGCCTGCAACAGGCTAGAACTTCACAAGGGTCAAACGCAAAAATTAAATCCCCGCTTTGGCTTCAGTTGCGTTAAATTCTATAAAAGTTTGACTCGTTATGTGCCGGACATTTATAAGAAAAGTTCAAAAGAAAAATACAGCGACATACCAAAAATACGAGGTAATAAAGATGGTGGATGACAACAATTTAATTTAATTTTCTAGGCATATTTGGCGTAGAAAGAGGAAAAACAATATCTGTATTTGGCAGCTGCGACAGTTTTGGCGGGAAAAATACGTGCGCAGTGCGCTTGTCTACGAAGTCCCATCTCAGGAAATTGACTTAGCCTGCAATTTGCTTAACGGTTGCTAAGTAACCTTTGATGATAACACTTCTTTACGTCAGCTGACATAAGAACGTTCGGCGTGCACGTGAGCTTTTGATTGGTTAATAAGAATCGGAAGCTGTTCGGGCTCACTGACGAAGATTTAACGAAAATGGTACTCGTTGTTCACTTACCCTCTTTGGCAAAATCTTCCAAATGCTCCACAGTACTGTCCATGTACATCTGTTTGTCTTGTAGCCGCTCAAAAATGACTGTATCCTATTGAAAGAACATTAAAAACGAGACCTTGTGAAACAAGGATATCTTCAAAAGCAGATTGGCGGTTAAGTTTGCCGCAAAACTCGATTGGCAAAGGCGGAGTGGCCATGTTGGAAGGCAAGGTCACACAGAAACACGGCGGTCCTTGAAATTAAAGGGACCATAAATTATTTATTGTACTTACAGCACCCTTGCAGTACAACTTTATTTTGCCCTCAGGAGTTCGAACAACCACAGACATCCTCTTACGAGTGCTAAAGATAAAAGAAAATACAACATTAGTTGCCCAGTACGTTTTGGTTACCTGTGACTTCCCTAAAGTCAGTCCTTATCAATTTGTAATGAGCACTTCAGCTCCTGCCATTTGTCACGTCTAGTTCGCCGAATTCAAACCACTGTTGTTGGGTCTCGTATGCCTGATTGCCGCCTTACCTGTTAAATTCCAGCACGTTCAAGACCTCATAGACCTCCTCTTGACCCATCTATGACAAAAGCATACACAACAATTTAACTACGATCAAACAATGAAACGCCCCAAATTTTAAAAGCAGCGTGAAGAAACATTTTGATGATCAGTTGTGGTCGCTCGCTTACCGCGTTAATGATGACTGATGTGGGAGTTCTCACGTTGAATGAGAATCCAAGCTTCTTTGCACCTTTGACCAGAGCACCTTCATCTGCAATTAGAAAACAGCCATTAAGAAAGCTCACAAGAAAACCTGTACTTCTATAACTCGATGAAAACAGAACCTAGCAGGAGCTGTCGACGTAATGATAAAGCAAGCAAAGAAAATATGTATTTTGAGTATAAACGAGCGCTTTTGGTTTCTTCAGTTTTAGTTTTCCTTTAATACAGTCATTTCTAAAGAATAGAGAACATTTTCTTTGTGTAATCAGCGCCATCTGGTCATGCGGAACAAGTAGATTTTCCTGCCAGGCAAGTAGCTTTTCATTCTCAGTTGCCTGATGAGCAAGGGCCCTGGCAAGTCGTCTTTCAACTACATAAAAACAGAGCAAACCGACTTGCCCAGGGCTGAACTGAACTCTGTCGTACCTGGTGAGGCAGCTTGATAAACTATTTTGTCAGGATTGCTGGGGTCTCTCTCTGGCACGACTGTGTGGCATACTGCTAACAGCGTCAGAAACTCCCGAATAACAGATGCTGTTGGCTATGAAATTTAATAAAGAAGAAGGTTACTGCATACAACGATTTTCAATTGAGTGTCGTAAAACCACCAAAGTAATTACTTTAGCCAATCCCAAAGGACACAGACAATCCAGTAAACCAATCAAAACACGACGTAATTAGTGTAGCCGACGCAAAGCGCGGGAAAACGTTGCGAGCGAGACACGATTGGTTTTGGTTTTACTCCTGATTGGATGAAAAAGTCGCGCAAGTTTTCTTAGCCAATCGTGTAGCGTAGTAATGCAAAACCAATTACTTTTCGACACTCAAATGAAAACCGGAAATTAACTCTGGGTTGGACTTGCTCTTGGTTACCTAACCTGGAGTTGTAAACACTTTTCTCATTAGCTAATCATGTATTATGCATTTTTGTTTTACAATCACGATAAAGCCTTGATACAAATCATAATGCCCACTCCAAACAAGAGCAAAAGGTTCAAGTACTTACATGATGTTCTCTGAGGTTATCCAGAAGCGCTGGATCCATGAATGTATCTCCTTGTCCACTACACGAAAAACAAAAATAAAATAAAACACATAGACAAAAATGACAATCATAATTCCAAAGTCTGCAACAAAGTCAGCCTTCATAGCACTCTTCATCTCAGGAGTGTGAGCTAGAGGTATGTAAAAACCAGATGCTTCACATCGTGTCTGAAGCTCTCACGTCCCTCTAACATTCTTTGAAAGGAAATGACTGCTATAGCTAATATTACATAAGGCTATATTAAATTCTCCTAGCATAGTTTCTCTAGCTGGTCAGAACCTAACACACCAGGTCTACTTTGTAAAAGATGTCATAACTGAAGCCAGTTAGAAATTTAGAATAGAGAAGGCTATGCATACCTAAAATCCTTATTAATGCTTCCCTCACCCAAAGAATCCACCCCCTTCCCTCTTTGGAGCAAGAAATGTACTGAGCCTCCCCCTCCTATCCACTTTTATGAGGGGCAAACTGATAATTGGTGCTTCTATGAATTAAATAAGCACCCTAGCCCTTGCCAACATAAACATGCTGGAAGTCAATATGCCTCCAGGGTCTTAGTAAGGAGTGAAGTTAGCTCACAAGGTAGAATATTCAAGTCAATAGTATTCTCAAACCTGTAACTAATTCCTCCAATGGAAACCTTTTTGAACTCCATGACATTTCTAGTAAGTGTGCCTGTCTTGTCTGAGAATATGTACCGCACCTGCATCAGCGCAAAAGAACAAACAAAATCAAACCCAAAGTCGACTAAGAACCACACTACCATAACAGAGAATTTACAATCTAACTGTTCTGCAACAATTTATTAGCTAACATCATTGTCCTGTGATGAGTGAAGAGATCAGTGTGCAGAAGCTGTAACATATTGTATGTGTAACTGGCAAGAGAGGATAAAGGTAAGAGAGTTAATCCCACATATAGGTCTCACTCTTATTAAAGGTAGTCCTTCTCAAGTTATTTTTAGACACAGTACCCAGTCCTTCCATGGCTGATGTTACCACACACTTTGCACTGATGTCTTCTTGGAGGACGAAAAAGCACGTAATATAAATTCACCTCAGCTGCCCACATGACCAAAACCACAGGATTGGTTATTTCTTCTTGACCCATTTCTCATGCCAGAAGTGATCTAAAAAGAACTTAAGAGGGATTATCTTGAGATTAAGGCCTACGTGGGGGATAAACTCTCTTACCCTGCAACCACTCTTGTGCCCAGAACTTAAATAACGTTAATAAGATTATTTCCTTTGAAGAAACTGCAAACACAATTTAAAGAAAAGTTAGAAAAGGTATTGTCAGACCTGTCCTAGTTCTTCATTGAGATTGGAAGTTCTTGCCATAGCTGGAGTGTCTGTCTCATCATAATACATATCAATGTCCTGTGACATAACAAAACAAAACGTAAACCTTGAAGAATAGTCAAACCAGGAAAAATAAAACACTGCAGTGTTTCATTTAGTGTGTGGAAGAGTGTCTGATGAACTTAAGAAAGACACACTAAGCCTAAACCAACATACCAAGTTTATGAAGATAGCTTGTATGAACTTCACAACCTGTGCAACAAAGGTAAGAGTAAAATAAATAAAAAAAATTAAAATCTTTGGAATTCAGCAAATAAGAAGCATCTTTAGGTAGGAAATGAGAAAATGATCTGGACTTTAAATTAATTTTGTGATTTGAGATAAAGAATGTTTCCTTATCATTAACTCTCGACAGTACTCAAAATCCAATTTTGTCTTACAATATGAACACATTCCCAAGCAGGAATGTGATGAGAATAAAGAAAACATGAGTTAGGTGATAATGTCATATTACAATAAATCAACTCATTCTTGCAAATCTTAATTACAAGAAATAGATGTATGCGACATTCAGTATGGGAACTATACCTCAAGAGTCACTGTCAAGCTGATGGGTATCAGATTGTTATACAAAATGATGAACGTCAAGAAAGACATGCCAAGGTTCTGAGCTCTTTTACCTGTGAAGAAAATTTTACAACAATTTTAGCCTTTCTGAAGTCTAAAAATATTAACTGGTGATAAAATGGTAATTGAGCCGTTCCAGAAAATATCCATACCCACCCCAAGGAGGGTCACTGAAAATTGCGAGGGGAAAGGAGGAGGTTGCCAAAGCCATAACTTTAAAAGGAAAGTATGAAGCAAAACTGAAAGTTCCAGAGGAGTGGGGAAGGGGAACTCAAAGCAAAAACCCTCTGTGGGAGGGGTATGGCTATTTTCTGGAAAAATCTAATTATTCAGGATTTTGTAGCATGATGCAGTGTGACAAATATTGCTACTATTGGATGGGATTACCAGCTTATCACAAATTTTCCCACAGCCTTGTGTCGGGTTGGCTCAACAATTTTCTGGCACCGGTCATAAGCTTGGATGGATAGTGAGCTAGGTGGGAGTAAGCTATGTTTTCAAGGGTCACTATTTTCTGACTACCAGTATGGACAGCAAGAACTTGAGCCTGTACCTCTCTATAGGGCCCAGTGTACAAACCATTGGCACACCCTATTACCCACTAGTTACAGAACGAGGCACCTACATTGTACTTACCAGAATATCCAAGGTACCAGTCAGTTTCTTGGTGATTATCTGAAAATATCAGGTAGCATGTTACAACATATTTTGGTAGGAAATATTCAACATAATGTAACTTTTCCATTGGTAGACATTACTTATCTAACATATGTTGGTAAACAATCTGATTCATGTTAAAATTTGTCATTAAGTGTTCGGTGGAAACATATTTCAGTATATATACATATTTGTACTGCAGTGTCAGCAATCTGTGACTAGAGTGAGATCAGAATTTCATCACTGCCATTGTGTGATGAATATGTGATGAAAGCATATGTCACCAGTGTGTGACTATAGCTAGAATGTGTGATCAGTTTGTGTTACCAGTGCCACTGTGTAGTCTGTGTGCGCCAAGAGTGTGTGACCAATTTGTGTGACTACTAAATGATAAGAATGTGTGACTAGTGAATTGTATTTAACCATTGGGCGTGGGTAAAACTGACTTGTCAAATTGATTCTGGGCAGTATTGTGAACTGACCTGTCCATATCTTGAAGCCAATAGTGCTGCAAAGAGCCAAGACAAGAAGCAGTCCAAACAGAAATAAGATCTGGATGTTGGTAGTGTGGTCCACATTTGACCGTTTGATTGGCGCAGCTGTGGAGTTCTGAAGACAAAAATAAAGATAACAGGTTAAAGGAGCTCAGTCACAGTTTGCATATATTGAAAAGTTTAATAGCCTCAATTTTTCAAATTTGTCATTTGTAATTTGTGTTAATCTTTTCTATCCTTAGCCATCCTTGTTCCTTTATGGTTTATCATTATCTCTTTGGTGTTTCAGGTTTCCTACCATTTAAAGGTAATTTTGTATGTGGCCAAAATAACTCAAAACACCATGACTGAACCCCTTTAAGATTACAGTATTACAAGTCACACCAAAGTTTCCTCAGGTCCTGGAGTCATTAAAGTTTCAAAAGCCTGAACAGGAATGAAATTTTAACTTGCTAGAGTGAAAGTTTTTGATGATCTCACAATCAATGCAAGAACCCCAGGATGTTACATACTTGATTCAAAGTTTGCAGTATGCCAAAAAGTTGTGTACGATAGCCCAGGGCTGGTGGATTTTGCAGCTGGGCCAGTGGATTCCGTCCTTTGCTTTGAGTATTCATTTAATTTTAAATTAATTAGCCCTGCTCAAAAGAAAAAAATTCCTTTTTTGGTGGAGAGGGGAAGCAGCTAGTGGGAAGGAGTTCCAAGTTAGTTACAGCTTGCTTGAAGGGCAAGCTCAGAAATTACCATTGATTTCTGTTAAAACTAATAAAACTTATTTTAATAATAAGCAAAACAATAAAAATTATCATAGCCATATTGCGAAGTAATTTCATACCTGCATGAGTTTGGAGTCATGTCCAGTATAAACAACAAGACCTACAAAAGAATGCCATGGAATGTCTTAACATGTAACACACTGACGGGAGAAACCTTACTAACAGTTAAGTGACATTAATTTCACAGGATTGTGTTTGTACACTAATTTCTCAGCTGGTAATTATATAATTCTGCCCTGACTCACCAAATATCCATTGTGTATTCCTTAAATGTGCTCCTCTTAACAAGACCTGTTCCGGCCCTACCGGAAGTGACCTGCAAAAGAAAAACTTGCACATTAATCCTCAATAATAATTGTGTCTTGGGTCCCATCAAATAAACTTGATGCACAAAGTCCCAAAAAACTTGAAAAGATTCACAGGTCTAGTAAGTGTTAATAAATATATTTGCTTGAAAAGTCTTAAGTGGTAATGATATTTACTTCTGTGTTTGGAGGGTGATGTTTCCAACAAAGTCATAGAGTCGATTATTTGGTCCTTCGCACTCCACACGTCCCTACAATCAAAACAAAAACATGTTGGTTAATTAACAGACATTCCATTTCAATCACTGACAAAGTAAAAATAATTTCTAGTTCTAAAGACAGCAACACGGCTTACTTGCATACAACGAACTTCAATTAGAGAGGTCATTTTGGCTGTGAGGGGTAATGCCTAGAATAAGACAAATGGAAAGTACAATGATCATAAATTTAGCATTTAAATTTATTTGGTATTTTTTTTTATTACAAGAGAGAATAAATATTCAAATATTAAAACTAAACTACGTCCGTATATTTAACAGAATACCAACCTGTCTAATCTTTAGATTAGTTTCGCCATCAAGATTTGAAGTCTCTATGTAACACATTCCCATTGGCTCACTGTAAAATAAATACTAGAATAAAATATCGTCACACTTTGGGCGCATTCATTCAACCAAAATTGCTGGGCTGAAGTTTGCAAATTTCTTGGTGTTGAATGGATCGCGATGGGTCTGGACAGTCTCATTCCATTCCACTTGCAAAACAAGATTCGCACACATTAAATGGAGGATGTTGGATCACTGTTGCTTGTACTAGAGCTGGATGACGATTTCGACGGTAATATCAATGATATTGTGTGAGCTGTTTCAAGCATAGTATTATTTTCAGCAGACCATTCCCAGACTGACAGACTGACTGACAGACTGAAGGACTGATGGACTGACGCACTGACACACTGATGGACTGATGGATTCACTGACTCACTGACTCACTGACAGACAGACGGATAGATGGACAGACAGAAAGACTGGTGAAATGACTGACTGACTGACTGACAGACAGACAGACAGACACATTGGCTGACCGATTGATATGGTAAATCCATCAATTAACCCTATTGCAACTCACTTTTTTAGCAGATTTCTCTATAATGCCTGTCATTAATTTAGAATATTTATAAACAAATAAATCTAAACATATATATTTAAAAATGGAAAAGAAATGATATATCCATTAAGACTTCAGTGCATAAGCGACTTTGAAAATGTCCATTGTCTACTGCATACCACTGCATTTCAGAGGATTTACCTTGACGAGAGTAAAATAAGGTCAGCAGGAAAGAACTGTCCATTAACAACCTTCACAATATCCCCAACTTGGACCTGAAAAAAAAACAATAAGAATAAACCTTGCAAACAGCACTCTGGAAAAATATTATCAGTAGTACGTGATAAGTAACTCAAAGGTAAATAATACACAAAGTAAATAAAACTTTCAAATTAAATGAACTAAATATTCAAAACTGAGGACTACAAACTAGTTAAAGTTTTAGCAGTGTAAATCTTACCTCAGTCCATAATAATGACTGTATGGTATTATCTCTTAAGACTAAGAAAAAAATTCAATACGTGGTAGTCACTATCATTGAAAATAATTTCCTTTATTCATTGGCTAAGAACATTTTCTTGAAATATGTACATGCAACAAGAAAGGAACAATCTGTTAATAAATTAATCAATAATTAATTCATTAATTAAAAACTTATAACATTTTACTCAATACCAACAGATCATTCTCCATTATCTACTTGTAGTTAATAAACATTAATCTTCCAAGCTCACATTTATTATTACAAATTGTTTCTAGGAGTTGATATGTGAAGTCGAAGAATGCACACAGCAGAGTAGAAATGTCTTGATGGTGTCTTGCCGACAGCAGTATGTTTGTCACATCTGGAATGCAAGGAGTCAGCTTTGGAAGACAACACTTACCTCAACCATGATTATTCCAATGAACCATGATTATTCCAAGAACTGAACGAAATTTAGTTCACACTCTAAGAAGTTATCAAAACATGCTAATATTATAACTTACCTTTAACTCTACGATTGTTAACCTGATCATCAGCTTGATGTCTTTTCTGAAATGATTTAATAAAAATTAGTTATTAACTACTTTAAGCCAGGTATAAATCTACATCAAAATAATACTTTAATTAAATGCCAGAAAAAAAATTAATAAATAAACATGAAAAATATTAAAAATATCACTTCATGTTTCTCTAGGTTTATTTTGTCATAGACAAAAGAAAGATCCAACAAAAAGTTAAAATATGGGCCACACTGGTATAAAAAAGTGTGACAAAAGGCATAAAAGAAACCACAAAAGTTGCTTTAAAAACTCAGTATTCTTAGTTTGAGATAATTTATTCCCTAATAAGCAGATAAGTAACTCACATAATCTTCTATAATCTCTTTCACAGCTGAACAAGAAAGAACAAATAGGAGAGGAACTGCTGTCGTGTAACGACCAGTAGGAGAAACATCATCTATTTGCTGGAAAAATACAACAAAAAAACAAAGAAAAAATTAAAATAAATAAATGGATTTATAACTATTTAGTCAATAAGATCCATACACCCATGCAGATAAATAAATATTGAATTGCCAAAGTACTGAATAAAGAACTAATTGAAGGATTTTGTGCAAAAAGGGCGTATATCACCCAAAAAACAATATACATGTATGCCATTTTTGCATGAAATCCTTCAATAATTGAAGGATTATTATCATTATATACACAAGAGTGTTTTACTGGAAAATACACCACTCGTAAAATTCATACGAAACCACATCCTGCATTCAGGTGGCGTATTTTCCATATCCTCACTAGTGAAGACATTGATGATTTCACTGATTTCATGTTTGACCCTTAAATTGTACTAAAATTTGTTGGTGTATGATCAAAAACATCTTCAGATCTTCCTCCAAAGTCTTCAGCAATCTTTGGTTATCTTTAAAAATCTTTGATACTCTCCATACATTTTCGGGAAATGTTCAGAAATGTTCATGTGGCCTCTGGACAATTTTTGGAGAATCTCCGGAAATCTTCGGAAAGTGGTTGGAAATCTTTGGAAAATCGTCAAAAATGTCATTACCAGCATGTTTATATAATAAACAAAATAATACATGGGCACATGTAGATGTGGAATATCTATTCTTGTGTTCAACTTTACATCTCACTCGTGAGATATCAAGTTGAACACTCGAAGAGATATTCCATATCTACAGGCGCCCATGTATTATCCACTCTGTATGTCACAGTTATCAAGTTGTTGGTACTCAAGACATCTAAAGATGTGCAAAGAAATTAGGTACTAGACAGTCAATGTGTTATAATAAAGGATACATAATGTATAATAATGGTTTGTTACTTACAGAGCATTGTTACCTACCTGTAAAAGTGCGATAAACAGGAAGAAAACATTGGAATATCGACTAAACTGTTCCAGGAGAAACTTGGGAAGGAATGTCAAGAAGTTGTACTTGGCAGTGCTGCAGAGGAGTTCAACAAATCATCCTGATTAAGACTGACTGTACAGTTTCATTTACAGTTCAACCCCATTTTAACAAACTCACTAATCATACATGTTCCTTGGGACAGTGGGACAACATCACACAGAGTTAAGGATAGTTAACTGCTATTTGATCGCAGTTCACAGTGTGTCAGTGGAATTGAATGATAAAAAAGTCACATATGCACGTCTGTGATTTCTCCTCCCTTTGCTTTAAAACGTTATGAACATCTATCAAACACTGGTGAACTACCACTACACATAATACCTTTTCACCAGCTTTTGGTATTGTTATACCGGTACCTTTAGTTAACTCTTATACAAGAAAAACTTTTGTTAAACAGCTGCATTTAGATGGTGCCGCTTTACACTATCTTGCATTTTATTTATTTACTTTTTTTTGTAATTATTAATTTATACATTTAAAAAAAGATCTACACTTGCAAAACATTTGATATTAAACATTACTTCCCAAAATAGCCCCCTTTAGGGGTTCAATTCAAATTTTCCAATGAGCACCTCTGACCTTTTCACATGGGAGCCTCCCAACCCCTTACAGAATAAACAGGACTGGCTATAGAAAACAATTTAAATAACTAAAGGCAAATCAACATAATATTCACTTCAGGTTTAAAGGAACATTATTTACTGTCATGCTCAGATTAATTTTTCAGCTCTAAAAGATGGCTCAATTACATGTAAGTTGAAAATGTTCGATGTTCTTTTAAGTTTGCTTTGCATACACAAACAATTAAAATTTAATATAAAATAATGGTTTCAATGTTCATTTATCTCACCTAATCTTGTTGTTGCAAAACTGTTGAGTCTGTGGTTTATTGATGATGATGATTCTGTCTGCCTCGGAACCATCAGTAGTGTCAGAAACTTCACTTTTAAGTGATCCATAGTTCTCTACAACAAAGAACATAAAAAGTATATGTGGATCAAATATCCTGGATTCAATAACCTGGGTAGGCTCGATCGCACACTGCTGTTTAGGAAAGGAGCCCAGGCTGCTTCTCTCCGAACCCTTTTTGGGAAGGAATGCAACTGGACACGAGGGAGGGTTGGAAATCCAGCCTATTACTTGGGTGGCCTAGTGCTGGGTCAGTTCACAATTCATTCACTCAGGTTTTTTCATTTGGTTAGAACCAGAACTTACTTCCCACTTGGGTGATTCCTCATGAAGAATCAGTTCCTAATATAGGGGTGAGGAAATATGGTCCTTTAAAAACCATGAGTTTTGCAAAATTTTGCTGAATTTGCAGTCATGTCCCTCTCACTCTCAATTTTTTTTAAAAAAAAAACAAAGCCTTCTTGCAGTCTGGAATTTTTCAAAAAGCTATCTTGGGGTCTTGCGAGGCTAGAAAAGTTTCGAAGTCCCAACTTGATTGTTTGCTTAAATTATAAAATAATGATGTCTGATGTCTGATGTCTCGACCTTCCATTTTTAAAAGTCGAAATGTCTCAGGTTTGCAAATTAGTCTCGCCTTCTTGCAAAGTCTCACAATGACTGTTCACCACCACCTTTATATTTGTGGTTTTAATAAACAAGTCCTTGTGCAAAAACCTTTCGTATTAAATCAAGTTTTATTTGTATGTTTGCTTTAATTTTTATTGGAAGTTACCATTTTCAATTTGATGGGTTCTCACAAAAACATGTTCTGAAACAACTCGTAAGAAATGGCCTAATAATTATGTAGTCTCAACTGACAAAACATACCTACTAAACCATTCAAATTGTAAAAAAAAATATTATAGAACAGCAAAAATTGTCATGACCACAAAATAATGGGTGGACAGTGTTCTTGTCACTGATTTAATTAAACAGTAAGTAAAATTAAATCAACACAAAATAAATAATGCACTTTCAGAATTATATTTTATTTCAATGACAATGAGAAAAAATCTAAATTCAACTGAAACTCACACCATCTTAATGAAATAAATAGTTTACAGAAAAATCACACCATCTAGTGCTTATTACACCCAAATTTATAAACTTTGGTGCATCATTTTGTAATACCATTCTGTTCAAACAGAGTTTCAAATGTACAGATTTATAGATGACGAAATAGTCATCAACTGCATCACAAACTTTGCATAGGCAGTGTTGTTTTAAAGTCACTGCTAGCCAATTGGAACTATTGAAGAAACAAAGAATATATAATAATATAATAATNTTTAGGTTTAGGCAATCTAGGTAAGTAGCCATGTCTAGTGTTGTAGCCATGTGAACTTCTTAGTGTCAATTTAAATCTTTCAAAATGTTGCGGAATGTCTCCTTTGATTGCATTTTCTACAGCGGTACAATCAGTGAGAAAAACGTCTTCCAGCCAGAGGGAGCCAATTCAGACACTTCAGAGCTTCTGAAGAATATGGCATATGTGTGTCTGTTTAAGAAGATGGTAATTTGAAAATCTCTTAATAAGTCAGTAAAATCCCTGCAAATGACTGTGTATATTAGGTGACAAAAAAATATAATGCACCATTCATTAATTTGTTCAAACTGTGAAAAAACAAAAAATAATAATAATAAATTGAAAAGAACATGTATGGCCTGAACAATGCTATCTCTGCCATATTTTTCTAAACCCTTTAAAGCTGATGCTCATGCTAATTTTTCTGCTTCTTGTATTCAGAAATATAAATTTGTTAAATACAATTTGTGAAATCAAACAAAATTGTGTACACACTTTACACATTGTGGGTAAATTTTGTTTCTCGTTTGAAATTTTGTTGTTTAATTTCCCTCTGTATGTGATGTGCTAATGAATATGATAAAAAGAAAGAAAAATCAAACTGGTTTGAAACAAAATTATAATAAAAAAAGAATTTAACCTCAACATACAAGTGCACACCATACTTTGAAGGCAGTTGGACACTGCTAATTCAAAATCCATTATTTTGAATTCCCTTTCATTTCAACCCAAAACCATTTCCCTAGTTTGCCCTTCAGTCATTTACTATCGGCTATTTTGAACTCCCACTATTTCAAACTGTTTTTGTTTCCCCTGAGAGTTTGAATTAGTGCAGTTCAACTGTACCTTCCAATTCATTTATTATCCATCACTAAGCCTAAAAATCAACTTAATTATGTCATCAGTGAAACATATATATAGCATTACTGTGTTAATGAAAATCACTGAAAACAAAACACAGAAAACATCCTTAGAACGCAGCCTGGCAAGCTGACCAGTTGGTAATTCACATTTTGCATTCAGAGAGTTGAATTTGGAGAACAAAATGTGAAGTTCAAAACCTGAACATTTGCTATGCCACCAGAAACTTAGTAATACATTATTCCCACATATATGCTAACTCTCTCACGGCTTGCTCTCCCAGTTAGGAGTCTTCTGTATACATGTGCCAAATCTCCTGGCTCCTTGGACAGGTTGAAAAATATCCCATATATGATGAAAAAATAGCTAATTAAAAATATCTAGTTTCCTGATGATTTCAGCCAAATTTGATCCTTCAGGCAACATTGTTTGAGGGTCTCAAGGATTTGAATTTTTTTAGGTTGGAATCTTTGCTGCCCACATTGAATTAAAATCCTACATCAGTCAGCTTGGATCTCAAAGTGAATAACAACGAATGAAAACGTTTAGAGCATGATATTAAAATTAATATAAATTCTACATTAAAACACATTAGTTTTGTATTATTACTCAAGCACATTATTATTTATATCTAAGATCTTCCAGCAAGTAAAATAATGACAATCAATCACTTACAACTAAGAAGAACCTTACTAAAAAATTTCAAAACTTGATACAGTGATAGTTGATATGTTTCACGTAATAGATTTACTCTGTTCTAAGCAACTGAATTGCCACTGGTGTTCAAAATATTCAGCTGTCTGTTACGTTGTACTTGAAAACCTCTGGCACAGTTTTTTCCTGTATAGATGAACCTCCTAGCTGGTGGGACAATGTATTCTTCATTGTAAGCACCACATGAACCCTTACTTTGTTTTGGAGTATTAAAAAACTGAGGAAACTACAATGCCTCCTGTTTTTGACATCACAGCTCATGGCTTTTTCAGCTGGCAAATTATGTAGCATGCATGAAAGAAACGCCTTTTACAGTGACATGTGCACTTTTATTAATTTCTCAATATGGCCTAACGAACACTAGTATCCAATATATCTTGCCTTATGCTACCAACTGGACAAAAACCACAACTTTAAATAACATATGCATAAGGTTGTGATCACAATTCAACAAATGCTGTGTTAAGCAATAGAAAGAATAGTTAGATAACTGAAGCTGATCTTCCTACTCTTAAATTTAATTTTTCGTTGGTACATGATTCCTGCTTACAGGTATTATTATTCTCAAAATAGCATGAGCTTAGCAGTATTTTTTGTTTGGAAAACACAGTTCAAGGCATTATTCCTACCAAAAAAAAAAAAAAAAATGAAATCATGTAATAAAAAATTTGAGATAAAGCCAAGCAGTTCTTTGGAAAGTGTGCCATCAAAACTTTCCTGCAAATTTGTGTTTTTTTACAATGCATATCTACCTCTGTGGCATAATTAAAACTGTATTCTTTCCAAGAAAAGCAGAGGATAAATGGAGGTTTCTTTGTTCGATCAAGCCCAGGCCATTGTGTTTGACATAGAGGTCATGGACGCTTGATTCCGTTGAGTTACACCTGTCTCAACTAGCCTCATAAAGAAAACTTGAGATAACTTCATTTTCATGATCATCCAAAATTAATTCATCTTCGTCTGAATCAAACTCAGACATGCCAGGATCAAGTCCACGAAGTGCTAGATTTATTTTTTATCTATCCGCGGTTTTTAAGGTTGGAAATCAATGCAAATGATTGTGTCCTAGAATATTAGATTTTTTACAAACATGATCGTGAAACCCAACAATTGGAAACTGAAAAGGGTCAGGTTATTTTCCAGGCGAGTGAATTTCAGTAAATGAATGTGTTTATAAAAAGCTCTTCAGAGTACGGCAATATAATTTTAAAATTCCTAGGATGTAAGCTTACTTTGATAAACAAACTAAAACTAAGTTTTGGCAGGGGAGTTCCTAGCCATCTTTCGATTCGATTTTGGCATACTGTACACCTACCATTATTTCCACCGGTTTTCGAGCCACCAGCCGTCAATTTGAATCCTTCCGCCATAATTCGACGACTAGATCATTGATGTTTATGGACAGCATAAAGATTTGCGATAGCGAGGAGGATATCCTCAAACAAAACCCGAAAACATTTGTTCTCCCTCCTGAATCCACCTAAAATTTATAAATTCGGAGCTTGACAGAGTCACGCCTGCGCAGTGCTCTCTTCTTTCAGCTGTTTGTGTTTTGGGTTCTTCCGGCCGCTGGAAGATCTCCTCGAGTTTGCTTCCACCAGGTGTTCAGGGGCAAGAGGAGATCAAAGTTTCACCACCACGTCCACCTCATAATCATAATAAAAGCAGCAGAAAAACAATGTAGTGCGAAAGCAGACACCAAAATTACAAAATGTAACCAAATCCGAATCGCCATCGATCGAATATACTGAAAATAATCAGTTTCAAATTTAATACAAGTTGGAGTGCCTTTCGATTTGTTAAGCGCTGTTGGATTGTACCAACGTTTTCCACGTCTGCTTATGAACACTAAACAGGTACAAGTAACGTCGAGAACTTGAGGGATTTCTGGTTATATTTACAAAGCTGTACGTCACTTTGTCTCATGATACTTGAGCATCACAAATTTCATAACTCTTGAAGTGTAACAAAGATGTGACTGATAATTTACCTGCAACGCTGGTTTCGGAGCCGTCCAAAACATCAATCAGTTCTGAGGAACTTCTCCTCTGTACGGGTATGTACGATGCTTTAGCAGACATTTTTCACAAGAAAATATTACATGTTGGAGCCGATGG